AAAGAAGCAAATAATCCTGGGAAATATCTGGGGTTACCTACTATTTGGGGAAGGTCTAAGAAAGAGGCTCTTAATTATATTGAAGAGCGAATTTTGGGGAAAGTGCAAGGTTGGAAGCAAAAGCATTTATCGCAAGCTGGTAAGGAGATTTTGATAAAGGCTGTTCTTTTTGCTGTCCCTTCTTACCCCATGTCGTGTTTCAAACTTCCAATTACTCTATGTCGTGAAATTGATTCACTTATTGCAAATTTCTGGTGGGGAAATAATTCAGTAGGGGGAAATAAAATTCATTGGAAGCGTTGGGAGCTGATGGGTTTATCTAAGGCAGCTGGAGGAATGGGGTTCAAAAACCTAGGTTATTTCAATGATGCTATGCTTGCTCGGCAAGCCTGGAGGATTATTTGCAACCCGGGTGCCTTATGGGTCCAGATTCTTAAAGGTTTATATTTTCCTGATTGCAGCTTCTTGGAGGCTCAAAAAGGAGGCCGTGCTTCGTGGGCTTGGTCTAGCATTCTGGTAGGTCGGGATATTATTCTTGCTGGAGCTCATTGACAAATTCTAAATGGATCTTCTACCTCAATTTGGGCTGATAAATGGATCCCAGGTGGTTATTTGCGACCTAGACTCCCTGTTCAGGTGGACGCTCCTATCAAGGTGTGTGAGTTAATTGATTGGGATCAGGGAGTTTGGAATTTGTTACCCATTGCTCATCTTATCTCCCAACATGAGCTTAATGCTATTACGGCTATTCCGATCGGGGGGTCAGTTTCTAGTGACCGACTGGTTTGGCCATGGGTGAAGTCCGGTAACTTTACTGTGAAGTCGGGTTATAATTGGATTGTGAATCAAAACATCAGGTGTCCGCTGGCTAAGGCACAATCTTCGCATACCATTTCTCTTGATACTTGGAAGATCATTTGGGAATCCAAAACCCTTCCGAAAGTGAAACAATTTCTTTGGCGAGCGGTCTCTAATATTCTCCCGTCCTTCTTAAATCTCTACAAGCGTAAGTTGTCCTCTTCGCATTTATGTCCTATTTGTTTGGAGAGTACTGAATCAATTGAACATATGCTGGTCCTTTGTCCTTGGACAGCTTGTGTTTGGTTTGGAAGCGCAATTGGCTATCGCGTGGATTTGCAATGTTTTACTTCTTTGGATAGATGGTTGGGCAGCCTCTTGAGAGGGGAGAGTATGTTTTCACCCAATTCTAGGTGGATTTTGTCGGTTGCTGCTTTCACTTGTTGGCATATTTGGAAGGCTCGGTGTAAATTTGTTTATAATGATATCCCAATTGTGCCTGCAGCTACTAGATCTCATGCTTGTTTGGCGGTGTCGGAATTTTGGAATGTTACAGAGAAGCCAGTTCTTGGGTCTGAGGGTATGCCTATTCAGATTTCTTCTCCTCATCCTTCTCATTGGCTACCCCCCCATTTCTTCTTATGTTAAGATTAATACTGACGGTTCTTGGAAATATGGTTCTGCTATGGCTGGAGTTGGAGTTATTATTCGGAAGATTGTTGGTTCTTGTATTGGGGGTCTTGCTGCTCAGGTGCGTGCCCATTCTCCACTTATGGCTGAAGTTTTGGCCTTGAAACATGGTCTTTTGAGAGCTAAAGAGTTGAATTTGGTTAATGTTGTAGTGGAATCTGATTCTCAAGTGGCTATTAGTTCTGTTAAGAGGGATATTTCTTCCTGTAATTGGGAGTTGTATCCTATCCTTAAGGATATTAGGTTTCTTAAAGCCTATTTCACAAATTTGAATTGGGCATGGGTGCCTCGTGAAGCCAACCGGTCTGCGGATGCCGTTGCCTCGCTTGCTAGGAAAGGGATGTGCTTGGAGTTGTGGCTTGTGCGACCTCCATCCTCTCTAGTTCATATTTTATCTCGGGATGGTCTTCCTTGCCCTCCGCCTGGTGCTTAATCTTCTGTTGTGTGTCTCTTTTTGTTTGTTTTGTTCTTTTGGTGGTTTGGTTTCGTGTTCTTTTTTTGTTCTTTGGTTTGGTTTTGTCTGTCCTGTTTGTGTGGTTGGGTTTGGCTCCCCTTTGGGCCTTTGCCTGTTGGCTTCTATGATATCTTTGTTGACAAAAAAAAAAAAAAAAAAATTAATTTAATTTTTTTTTAAATCACCGGTGCACTACATACCTCTTTATTTAATCGCATATACGATAATATGAAGAAGATAAAAAAGAAGGGAACAAAAGCGAATTAAAAAACTGAGATCAGCTCTTATCAGCAAAGTCGCTATTCAATTAGAACAGGGTATGTACAGCCTGACATGTGGATGCTTGAAAATCAGCTCCCATTCTTCATTCTTGAGGATCTTTATCACACATACATAATAACCGACTCTTTTAGGAATTATTACGGTACTCATGATCATGAGAGGCTTTCAATAATTAATATTTCTAAGAATTTCTTCACAGCTGGAATATTGAATTTGGAAGGGAAGGGAGACAAATGGAACAGAATATCATCTTCTTCTGGTTCTATTAATGTACAACACTTTGTTGATCTTATAAGAATTTTCTATCTACCATTGGAATCAGAATTAAGAGATGCAGGGGAGCTCAAAACCTTGAACATACCTAGCATCAAAGAGATGCACCAGGCTGGAGTCAAAATTAAGGTAGGATCAAGCAAAAACTTAGTCGACATACAATTTGCAAATGGAACTCTCATAATTCCTAAAATAATGATAACTGGTGACAAACTGCGGACCCTGGGAAATGTCATTGCCTTTGAACAATGCCATTGCATAGAAGATAACTACATAAACGATTATGTTAGCATCATGGGTCGTTTTGCGAACACCCCGAAGGATGTGGAGTTGCTTATTGAGTTCGGAATTTTTGAAACTGCGGGTACCACCAGCGTGGTGTCATCTATGATTACCAAACTTGCCTCTGAGGCTCTTTTCTTTGTCGATAGATTCTGTTACGCGACTCTTTGTGAAGAGCTGAACAACTTCTGCAGATCGTCCTGGAACAAATGGAAGGCAAATTTGAGACAAAATTATTTCAACACACCTTGGGCATCTATTTATGTCATTGCCGCTGTTGTTCTCCTCACACTCACTCTCACTCTCATACAAACGGTGTGCTCTGTTATCTCTGCTACTTAACCATTAAAGGGTAAGTTCCTGCTTTGCCGCTTTCTCTTCTGACAATAATATGTAGACTCATCTCTGTTTTTATTATTTATTTATTCACTCACATGGTTCTAGCAGGAACACTTTTGGGAAACTAGTAGTAATTCGGGTCCTCATCAAATAAAGGATCCGAGGAAAGCCTGTGAACTCAAATCCTTAATCTATGTATATCATGAGAGGAGCTCTTAAAAATCTAGATGATGAATGTAATATTTCTATTGTTTGTCCAAATTTTCGGAGTGAATGAATTCAAACTGTATGTTTCAAACTGCGGGTTATTCCTATCAAGATTGTTTCTGATGAAATATTATTTATTTCTGTGTTATAAATTTATCAGTAAAGAAAAATAAAATAAAATCCTTCCAATGTCTATCAATCTCTGTAAAAATTAATTTGTTTTTTAATTAATTTCTGTATGGTGGTGATCAAATCTTTATTCTTTTGTGGTTAAGTTGGGTCCCAAGGCCCATAAAGACAAAAACTGACTGACTCAAAGCATTCCTGGGCCTAGAAACCGCTATGCAATCCTCAGGAAGAAGACAAGCCCAACATGATGTGGGAAGAGTCCAAGACTAAACAGCTCAAGTCCAAGGAAAAAGCATATAAAGAGAGTTTGATATTTTTCATCATCAAATCCGTTAAGAATTTTATGTATTTATTATTTTATGTTTTTTTAGTACAAGCGATAGGGAGGGGTTTCTCACACACACAAGTAATGTCATGGGGGTTCAAACTTGAGACCTCTGGTATGCAAATCAAGACCCTTTTTCACTCCGCTAGACCCCGTTGGCTTTTTTTTTATAGAGCATTTTAAATCTAGTAAGAAACAAACCTCATTTTTTCCCAGAACATTTTCATGGAATAAGCATTGCAGACTCCGCACAAAGGACGCAGAAACTTCACCGAAACACAAGAGAAGATACAAAAGATTTTACTTACAGTCAAAGGTATAGACAAACCCTTGTACAAAATGTTGGTTCTTTAGTTGTCGTGGGGCCTGCAATGGATTATTAAAACTTTCCCAAGACGTGCATAGACATGTCAAGGCAAAGGCAAGGAAGGTACATGAGGAGTTGACCTGACTTCCAAACCAGCTTCACTAGTTCTTATATTGAAATCTAGCAGAAGAGCAAGCTATCTGCATTGAGCTTTTTTAGCTACTCATCTACCAAAGGCAAAAAAAAAAAACTTGGGTTTCAATCCATAGCAGGTATGTTTTCAATGCCCAACTCCTTTCTCTGTCTTTCTTTATTTTTCTATGTTTGCTTGCACATCCAATTTCTTGAAGCTTTTAAGTGTCTTGAGTTTCATTTTAGTTGGAAATTGGAATTGAGCAAAAGGTTTTGTGATTGTCGCATATAATTTTCTTCTCTTCTAATGGGATTTTGGTTTGTCTATGTTTTGACTGGAAGCATAATCTACTATCTGATATCATTACACAAAGAATTTGTTTTATTAGACGCTCCAATAATGCAGAACACGAAAAATATTTTTTTTAAAATGTAATAATTCATTCAAGACTTTCAATTCTTTTCCTTTCGAACACATAAAAAAAAAAAAAGGTGTTTGTATGTTAAATGTTAATGTAAAATAAACTTTCGTACTGATTCACATGATTAGTAGGAATTTTTG